GCCTCAGGAGGGGAAAGCAGCTCTCCACCAACACTGTCTACAGTGCAGGTGGGGACCTCCTGACCTCGACTGGGGAGGTTGTCGGGCGGTGGAAGGAATACTTTGAGGGTCTCCTCAGTTTCGCCGTCACGTCTTCCGAAGAGGAAGCACAGACCCAGGACATGCTGGAGAGATTATGTCTCTCGACTGGCCTGGGAACGCCTGGGGGTCCCCCCGGAAGAGCTGGAGGAGGTGTGTGGAGATCGGGAAGTCTGGGTGGCTTTGCTAAAGCTGCTGCCTCCGCGACCCGACTCCTGATAAAGCGGAAGAAGATGGATGGATCTTTTGTTTATTGAAATAGTTTTTGAACATTATTTTTAATGCGGACCCTTACCGTTTACCTTTTTTAGTTTTTGTTTGACAGTTTTTTTCATTTTTATTGTTTCAGAATTTATATCTTAAAAAGTCATCACAGTAAGGAAGTAGCTCGGTGCTCAGTGAGCATTATTGTTTTGTTTTTTCTTTTCAGTTTCAATTTCTAATATTAACTACATTTATTTGCTTTATGTCGATAAAGTTGAGAAGCTGTTCATTAAATCGTTCAGTCAAAACAACAAGCCCACATCAGTTCTGTTTGGAAACTCCTTTTTATTGGTTCATCTTTAGCCAGGAGGGTAGCAGCAGCCACACCACACCGAGAGGAACAAACAAAAGTAACCAAAGGACAAACAACAACAACAACGACAACAACATGGGTGCTCTTCATCTCCTCTGATCACTGTAAAATAAATACTCCTCGTCGACACGTGATTATTGTTACGCTACTGTCGCAGCCGCTTAAATAAATACCCATGAAGCAGTGAAACGTGAGAAATGCATTTTGTTCCATATATAATATATTCATTTTAGATAGATTTCTATATATATTTGTTCCATATACTCTCCGTAGATTCTTTTACAACATACAAGATGCCAATTTGTACCAAAAGCGATGCTTGCTGAGACACGAGAGGAGAAGTTTGGTTATAGTGGCAGCCGGCGAGCGTCCAGCGTCGGACCTGAGGGAGGAACCGTGGGAACGTTTGGGTTTCTGGAGGGTTTTTTATCGTACGAACAGATACACACAGCGGCAGCGAAGTCTGAAGAAAGGATTGAAATGCAAAAAGGGTTCAGAGAAGCAAGTAATTTACCAAGATGTCAAAAAAAAAAAAAAAAAATCCTAAAAATTCAGATTGTTGCAGAATGAAAAGTAGTAG